GAGTTCCTCCCTGGTCTCTGTTTTCTGTTTCAGTTCCTGTTTCAGTTCTGTTCCTGTTTCAATTCTGTTTCTGTTTCAGTTGCTGCCTTGGCCTCTGTCAATGGACTGCAACCTGGGACATGAAAGCCAAATAAATCCTTGTCTTTTCAAGTTGGTTTTTGTCATAGTGTTTTATTATAGCAGTAGAACCCCAACTAATTTACTGTAAAACTCAAAGAAAAACAAGGAGGGAAGTAATTTAAAAGAACAAGAGCAAAGGATTGGATGCAACCTCCTTTAGGTCTCTTCCTTTCCCGTCTTTCTTCTTGATACCCATGTCTTCTGTAGCATGCTCCTAAGAGCTACAAACTGGCTCTACCATCAACTATGTCACAAAATCAGGGATGCTCGTGTCTCCAGGCTCACCTGTCAGTTTCAATGCCTTTCAGTCTTTCTGGACTTGTCTTGATATCTTGGGAGCTGATGCACCTTGATAGTATCTGCCAGAATTTCACATGTTGAAAATCCATGCTCTAAACTCACATGTTAATGGTGCTAGGTGGTGGGACCTAGAGGTGTCACCAGGACTTTTAGTAGTGACTGTATAAAGATTGGAATGGAGTGAGCATGTTTGCTCTGTCTCACCAAGTACACCCTTGGACATATCATGATGCAGGAGGAAGACCTTCACTGGATGTGAGCAGGTATCATTGCTCTAGGTACTTCACAGGTCTCAGAAGTACAATGCAAATACACCTTTGTTGTTTGTAAAGTAAATTCTGCTGTAGCCACAGAAAATATACCAAGAAGCACCCAGCATTTGTTTGGAGTCCACTTTTCCTTTGGGTTCTATTGCAAGGTCTGCTCTTCTTTTTCCTCCTTCATTTTATCCATGACGATCCTTTCATTTTATTTTTCAAGAAAGTGTTCCAATATTCCCCAAAATTTTCTAAGTGATTCCTTCTATGGGATCGAGTCATTTATGTACTTGAGAATCTAATTTTATATCCAGCCTTAACTGAATGCCACATACACACACATTTAAACAACCATAAACAGAACAAACCCAATATAATTTTCCCAACCTGTCTCTTAAGTGAGCTACATGGAAATTCATCTATTTCTTGGCTAGAAACTGGACAATCAACTTCCATGACACCCTTCATCATCTTCTATCACCAGGTAATCATCAGAACCAGGTAGTTTTACTTCATGGATGTTCTTACAGTATCTACCTGTTCACCACCATTTTATTGGTGTTTGTTTCCCAGCATGCTTTCTTACCCAGATATGCCTCACAGCTGAAGTGAGTTACCTAAAAAAAACACAGGTGGTCATGACCTTTGTGCCTCAATGAAACACTGTTAATGTTTGAATATTAACTGTCTCTCATAAGTCCAAATGTTGGGACACTGTCTTTGGCAACTGTCACTGGGGAGGTTGTAGAACCTTTGGGATGGGGAATCTAGATGCAGGAAGCAGGTCACCTATAGGAGAGAAGCTGAAGGTCCTATCGTGGCCTGATTCTTGTCCTGTCTCTGCTTCTTGGCTGCCTACACCATGTGGCTGCTGTCCCACACTCATGCTGGCCAACACTGAACTTTTCCTGTCACTCATCCTTCCTGCTCTCCATGGTGGGCTAGAGGGCTGTGAACCCCCACCAGAGCTTTAAATTGCTATTGTCAGGCATCACTGTCCTAAGTAGATGAATATGGCAACCTTTGACCCCCAATACTCTACCTCCTCTCTACCTCTCCCTGGGGCTGCCCTTCATCTCCTAAAGCGCTTCTTTCCACCAAGAAGCCTGGCTCTTCCACCAAAGAGACCCCTTATTTCCCTTCATTCCTTTTAAGGCTAGCTGGCCTCACTCACCCTTCAAACTTCAGAATTAAACTCTGAAAAGAAAATTTTCCTAATTTCAACATGTATGTAGACCAGGCTCTTGGTGATATATTTCTCTTTCAAGGTGCTTGCCACATTTTGGTAAAATGTTATTTAGTAATAGATGTATTATCTTCCTTGCCTGAGAGAGTATTAGCCATGTGTGCCTCCACATACGGCCTCACACTCAGCACTAACCTTGGACAACAGAGGCATTCGATAAATGTGTGTGAGGTGCATAAATTAGTGCCAACATTTACTGATGCTTCAGGAGTGCTGAAAAGGCACACTGTAATCAAAATCAATAACCCCACTTACAGCTGTAGCATTAAAACAGCCACACAGATTTAGGAAGTAAAATGCATGTCACTTACAAACTATCCTTCACTTACTTTTAATGTAAAATCTATCTTCTTTACAGGGTCAAAACTCTAGAAAAACAGGGGCAGATAAGTATTATGTAACACTGCATCAAAATTTAAAATATGTATTGGCTCTCAAAAGTCAAAATAAGCAACACTGCCAGAATAAAAAGAGAAAACAGATTTGATAAGAATATTGCCAATGAGGGCTGGCAAGATGGCTTAGGCAGTAAAGGCCCTTATTTGTATGGCCCACACAGTAGAAGGAGAGAGCCAACTCCTGCAAGTTGCCCTTTAACCTCCATACGTGCACTGGAATGTATGTGCATATAAGCAACACACACACACACACACACACACACACACACACACACACACACACACACAAATATTATCTCCATCGGTACCATGTTTGCTTACAGTGAAGGAGATCCTGGCTTTGATTCCCAGTACTCCATAAACCAAATGTTTTACCACAAGACTATACCTGTAAACTGAGTTTTGTTTGGTAGCAGCATTGAGTACCTGGAGTTCAAAGTCATCCTCAGCTATATAGGGAGTTCAAGGCCAGACTGGGAATATATGAGACCATGTCTCAGAATAACAACAACAAAAAAAAAATATTTCACTAACTAGACCAACATTGTGTGACTAGCCAGAAGTATAAAAGGATTAGGAGCCCTCATGTATAAAAATTTCTACATCTCTACCACACCTTTCCATCATTTTAAGTTTTGAAGATATAATCTTCAAATGATCAAGAACACAAGGTTAGAAAGCATTTTCACCATGATATATTTAAGATGGAAACATCTATATATGTGTATACAAACTGGCAGGTGAACAAACACACCGTGTGCTCCCCCCATCGCCATCTCTGTCCCTTTTCTTAATTAGGCCACCCCCATCTTTACCCAGACTGCTACCATACCCTTTGCTGTTTTCTCTGTTAACAAACAGTTGATCCTTCACACTGCCCCCAGTTTGTCACCTGTCCCATATGTATACAAGCATATCTACTTGAAACCATAGCCTAAAGTTCTTGAAATACCCCACATGTGCTGGCCCTAGCTAATTCTCCAACAGAATCTCCCACGTTGCTTTTACCATTACATCATCCATTTTGTTTCTGGAGCATCTCAAGTTTGTTTCTACTTAGGACCTTCCCACATGCTCTTCCTCCTAGTTGGAAAGCACTATCCCAGGTCTTATCAGTGTGAGACCTGAAGCCCCCTCAAAAGCCGAGCATCCCACTGACATGAATCTCCTGTCATTTTTCAGCCCATCATCTGTTTCATCTCCTTCCCATTATTTTCTACCACTTGCAATTATCTTCTCCATGGTTACCAACTTACTCTGTTCTCCTACTAGCATGCACAGTTCCTGAGCATGAAAATTTGCTCATTTTGCTCACTGGCCCATTTATAGGCCCAGAACATGGAAAAGTGCTTGCTACATACTGAATGCTCATCCAATAGGTGTCATATAAATCAACACAGTTAACAAAAGAATCAGCTTTAAAAAAAAAAAGTCCAGATGATCAAGATTCGAGAAGACATGCATTTGCATCATGGGTTCATAAGCACATTAGTAAGTAATACAAGGAGAGCTCATTACACATGAGGGTACTTAGCTATTGTGATGAAAATACACACTTTTGCTAAGAAAATTCAACTCTATATTGAGTAAGAATAAGAACCACTAAGTAAAAAATCCATCTCTTATCTAAGACCTGACAAAATGAGGAACTTCAAATAAATTTGCATTATAAATGGGGGAGGAGAGCCATGAATTCTCCATTCTGCAGAAATGGAAGAATCCCTTTAGGGCTGAATAAGAAGCACTGAAAGAAAAACCTTTATCCTAAGGCAGCTTTAAAATGAACGCTAATGCTCACACAGCGAAAACCTGCCCAATTCTAAGGGAACCAGTACAAGGTGGTTTCCCCAGGGCTAACCAGTTCTCATAGGGATAAACAGAGGTAGTTAATATCACACACTTTCTGCCTTCAGTGACCTGTGGTGTGAGACTGATAGCTGCAGAGATAAGACTGGAACCCTTTAAGTCCTCCAATTACCCAGTGCCACTGAATCAGTGCTCTCATTCCATCATATAGTTAATGAGAACAATTTAAATGTGTGCCCCAGGGAAGTGTAAATTCCAGTGTCTCGGGGACTTTGGAGTTTACAGGAGCACAGCTGGAGCCAAATAAACTATATGCCCCACTCTCTGTATTTGTATTGTGTCTATGAGATAACAAACTACCTTGGATGTTAGTCAATTTTTTTTTTCAAATAAGCAAGACATAATTTTCTCTATTGGATCTATTTACTAAGTACCATACATAGTGCATGCAGATAACCACTGAGGTTACATAGAGCAGCAAACAAGAATAGCAGTAGACACTTTATCTTCCTGTTAATTGACTGCCTTTGTTACACAACAGAGTCTGGAAAAGTCTAACTATAATTCTAACTGCAAGCCACAGTAATCATGTCAATATGTGAGCTACCTGAATATCTAATTATGAAAAGGAGAAGGCAATTTCACAGTGGAGACATTGTTCTAATTCAAGAAACAGCCATATTAGCTTATTAGCAGATAGCTGAAAATTTTTAATTTGAAAGATAATTATTTTTAGCTGATTAATATGCTTCAAATTAAACTCACTGCTTTTAATGGGCCCATCAACTTGACAACCTGGGAAATTAATAAATTTTACATGCAGTAATCCCAGTAAATTTATCCAGCCAAGCCACACATCATTATAAGGATTACCTTCACAGTAGGCATTGTCCTCCCGAAGAGCCCTGAACCCATCCCTGCAGCTGCACACAGCCCTGTCATTCAGGTTCCTGCAGACAGAGTTCTCCATACAGGTATGCTTCTCTGAACAAAAGTCATAACCTAGAAGAGAAACACGTTCCCATAAATGAAACTAGGACAAGACAAACTGCTCTGGAGTTTCCTTTAATATTTTTTCTTTTTTATTGAAAATAGTGTTTTTTCATACAAAGTATTCTGATCATGGTTCCCCCATCCTCCCAGATATTCCCACCTTTCCATCCATCCAGCTCCATGCCTTCCTTCTCTCCCCCTTTAGAAATTAAACAACAGGCAAAAAAAAAAAAAAAGCAAACAACCCAGAACTTTAAAAAGGAAGAAAGACAGAAAGAAAGTCATTTTGAAGCTATGTTCTCTAAATTACTAGGTTTATGATTTGACAGTTTCATACATACATATGTATTACATATTCTCATTGCCCTACCTATTTATCGTCTACCCTCTTTTAACTCTACCATCCCCACCGCCAGTCCCTTTCTCAGATTCATGACTTTTGGTTTGGTTTTGTGAGCATTTAATTCGACCAGGATCATCTGTGTGAGTGGTCACCATAGCCACACAACTGAAGACAATGCCTCCCCCTTTCCCTGAATCAATTAGGAGCAAACAGTGCAACCATGAGGGAAAGGCCCGTCAGACCCTCTTCTGTCCATGCCTGACTATTGCCCCTGAGATCCTCTTCCATCCATGCCTGACTGTTGACACGCATGGGCATGATGGTACTGTACAGACCCAGTGCAGGCATCCACAAATGCTGTAATACTCTGATTGCAAAACAGGTTCTTTATGTTTGCTTGACCCAGTTAGTTTCTACTTCAAATGAGTTCCTTTCTTTTTTGGTTTTTTGTTTTGATTTTATAAATGCTACAAGTCTTTAAATTGTCTTATTATAGCTCTCTACATATTTGCAACAAATATTCTTTGAGTTTAAAATGAGTGTTACAGTAAAGGTGTTAACACAGTAAGATGGCAACAGACATTATCAGTACCTTTAACACTCAGGAAGCCAGAGGGAGATGTGCCCAAAAATATTTAAGGGACGAAACAACAGCTTAGCAATTTAGATTGGTTTAAAGGGTGCTCAAAATGAAAATTCCATCATTTTAATCTAGTTTTCTCTGAAGATGTGTGTGGAAAACTATAACCACTCCAAAGAAGAAACTTTTAGGATTAAGAGGATTTCCACAGATCACAGAGCCTTTTGAATGCAAAAGAAAAATGGAACTCTTATAAACAGTGACACCAATCGTACAGTTTCTAAGGATTTTTTCTTGTGTTGGAACCCCTTGTTCAACAATATCTAAATGCTGAAATGAAAAGCCTGAGTGGCAAGATCCACCTTAAATGGAGATTACATGATTGGGTGTCATTCAACAAATTTTTAAATTGCCTAATGCATACTTTATCGAAAGGGCTTCACACTGGCTGGTGATTTGCAATTTATCCCACATATAAAAGGACAAGAAGGACTTAGAAGAAATTGTCTCTATATAGCCAGGAAAGACTTGCATTTGAGAAAATCTAAATGGGCCCTTCTTATTTGTAATGAAGCTGGTCTCCACGTTCACCAAGTGGTGCCCACTCTGATCACTCGTTTGCCTGGACTATTTTCAATACCACTACATGATTACATTGAATTACAACATATAAAGAAACATTACTGCAACTTAGTCTTAAGAAGTCCAATGCATCTGAAATAGTAAATCTTAAAACAGGCTAGAAAACATCAAATGGATAAGTGAATGCTCTAAAATAATTTTAAAAATCATTAAGTATATAAAGACAAAAGAAATACAGTTAATAATACCCATTAACTTACTTGGAAATTTAACTTCTCTTGACAATATAACTGCTCAGGATTAAGACCAAATATTTGAAAGCAAAATTCTCAAGAGAAAAATTTACAAAATTTAAATTTAAAAATTTAAACTTTTCTCTGAGGGTCATTTTCTTTCTTTCTTTTTTAAGTAAGTAAACTAAGATCAGATTTCTTAAAATGCCTTTCACTGTCTTTTTACAATGCCCAAGGGGGGAAACAATTTCATATAAAATCATTACTATCCATCCCAATAGCCCAGCACATCATCAAACTAAAATTTAAAAGCAAGGGGGACAAAAAGGAAGAGGAAGACAAGGGAAAAAATCTTTTACCTTTAACCTGAATGAAAGGAAAGGTAATATTAAAATGGTTCAGTCTTAGAGGGGCATAAGCAATTGAGCACTAGCAAGAGCGCCAAATCTCTGATTTTCCCCACCGTGTCTCACATATGTTTTAGAGGCTATGACTGTGGGAGTTGTTTCTGGTGTTTTGCTTTCTTGAGTTTACAGATTTAAAAATCATCACCTTTCATGTTGTTAACTTTTCTCCCAGTTTTAATAATCCTCCGTATTATCTAGGATGTTCAGCAAACCTTTTATGTACCTACTGTTAGTACGCTCCATTCCATTTCCATTCCCTCCCCAGTAACAGTGAGACCCTTCGTTGAACCATCAAACACCATGAACACACACAAGAAGTGCTGAATCCTCTCAAGAATCTTCCAAGTGGAAGAAAGGAGTGTGCTCCTCCTATTTTCGCCATTTTTAGATAAAAGTTAAGACTTGATTACAACTTATTTGGGTAATGTATTAACCCAATGATGAAAAAACTAAAATTTCCAGTGAGTCAAACTCCATTTATTATATACATATATATGTAATGTATATATAATAAATATAAATCCAATAGGTATTTAAAAGTGTCCTTTCCATACACAAAAATGCTCATTGGCTCCTCTGAGTGTTTGACTGCCTAGATCAGTGGCTCTCAGCCTTCCTAATGCTGTGACCCTTTAATAGTTCCTTATGTTGTGGTGACCTCCACAACCATAAAATTATTTTCGTTGCTATTCCATGACTATAATGTAAACACTTTTGGAGACAGATGTTTGCCAAAGAGGATGCAACCCACAGGTTGAGAACCACTGACCTATATAATAAAATCTCAGGGTCAAAATGTCATCCACTAATGTGTAGGGGATTTGGATTCAATTTAAGTAGGTTATTTCTAACCTGCAGACACGCAGTCTGCATGATGCCAGCACTGTCTATGTCCTCACTGCTCCCTATCCACTGTGTGTGCATGGCTTTTGAAACTGCAGACCCAGCTTTACAGACAACCCAATCTCGGTTACAATGGGCTGCATAAACACAGGCTGTGGAAGTTAACCCAGCTTTCTCAGACACTGGATACTGTCACTTGTAAAGTTAGGATATTTCCCATCTTATAAAATGTAGGATTCAAATGAGATTGCCCATGCAATGACACTATGGCCTGTGCATAGATGACAAACGCCACTAGACTGGTAGTATGGCTCTAACACCAGACAAGCTAACATCTGTGTCATCGAATCCATTTCAGCATTTGCTACAGCTTGGTGAAGAGATCACATCTAACACAATCCAGCCCTTTTGTTTCCTTCCACCATATTTGAGCTTCATCGCCTATGTAACTCCAACTCCATCTTTGCAAATGTACACGGGGCTCTGTGCATTCCTACTAAGAATAGACTTTGCTATGGAACATAGAAATGCATTTGTCCAATAACTGAGAGGGAAATAAAAAGAAGACACGAGAGGTCACAAGAATGAGGTTTATGTGCTGGTGGTGTGTCAGGGGAGAAAGCAGCAATAACTTCATGGTGAATATTAACTGGTTTGACATTAGAAGCGGGCTTCTCATATTTGTGGTGGTAAGAGGCCTAGTTACACTCTGGAGGAACCACTCACCCTGACTTTTGACCCAGGTGCATTCAGGAAAATGAACTTTATCCTGTATAGGACAGAGCCATATCAAACAATGCACAGTACTGGTCTAAACAAAATTTCTTCAATGCTATCTCATGAAGGTCATCAAAGCTCAGGTCTGGGATTTTTACTTATGAGGCTATTAAGCCATTTCTTCTACATATCTATGTTTCATCACAATTTGAATATGAACATTGGCATGCCAGTCACCTGAGAATACTTCCAGCCCTAAAACAGTCACCTCAGAGGAGACAGAGGTACTCCAGTCAGTGAGCTGGGTCTGAAATGGGTCAAGCAGCACTGAAGTTGGTTTCCCACCTGCTTTGGGGGCCCACAGGGTCCACTTTCTAGCTGAGCCAATATAATTTGGTGTCTATCACATGTCTGTTAACAAATGCTAATGTGGTTAGGTGTAGTCTGAAAGCTGATAAGACTTTCCTAGTGTCTCCTAAAGTGTAGATCAAAGTGCAGAATAAGCTGATGGGGGGGGTGTCCTTCTATATGCTGTGAATACATTTCTCTTATTGGTTGATGAATAAATGCTGATTGGCTAGTAGCCAGGCAGGAAGTATAGGTGGGGATACCCGACTAGGAGAATTCAGGGAAGAGGAAAGGAGGGAGCAGTCACCAGAAAAAGACACCATGTAGCTACTGAGAAAGCAAGAGTCTTGGGCATCACTGGTAAGCCAAGTCCACATGGAGATACATAGATTAATAGAAGTGGGTTAATAATTAAGAGAGAGCTAACCAATAAGAAGCCTGAGCCATCAGCCAAATAGTTTATAATTAATGTAAGCCTCTGTTTGTTTATTTGGGACTGAAGGGAGGCAGGAGCAGTCTGGACAGAAACATCAGTCTACAACAAGCAAAAAGAATTCTAATGCCAATGGCCTTCTTCTGAGGCAAATAGGGACAATGTGTAAATACCATTGCCTAGCAATGAAACTGAAGTTGACAATCACTATAACAACATTATTACTAATACACAGATAAAAAAGCCACAAGAGTAACTATTGAATCTCGTGAACAGTGGGAATTATGTGCAAGTGAAAGAGAATGAGCCACACTTCTTCCACGATGCTCTCCCACTTATAATAAAGAGGTGTGAGCAAGAAATTGTCTTGCAGACAGAGGGTGGGAGTGCCAAGGGAGAAGAGGGCAACAGAAAGGAAACTAGACATAAATCCACATACACTGTGTGTGTCTAGGGATCACTCCTCCATCATGGAAGCTCTGGCTTCCATGGTTACCCACTTCCTTCAAAGGTCCAAACTGTAGAGTGGTGCTCCCTGCTCAAAGGAAGGCGTTACCCACTTCCTTCAAAGGTTCAAACTGTAGAGTGGTGCTCCCTGCTCAGGTCCCCCTGCCTGTTTCGGTCAGAGTTGGCCAAAACAGAAAGGCTAAGCAACCCCTACCCAAATTTCCAGGGGGAAAGGTCAACACTTGAGTCTCATACTGGTGCTCACCTAATTAACCACTGCTGATCTGAATTTTCATTTAGATGTGAACACTTCCTCTTTACCCTAGGCAGGGGGCTGAAAACAGGAGGTCAATTCTCTCACAAATGAACTGAAAGAATTGATTCAAATTTAAGACTGTAGCCATGAGAATTCCTTTAATTGCTTGCATATATAAAGTCAGAAAAGCCTGAAATCCTTAAGGGCCTATGGTGACATTGTGTTTATGATCTAATAAATAAAGCTTGCCTGAAGCCAGAGCACAAAGCTAGCCACAGCCATAGAGTCAAGGCAATGGTACACACCTTTAATCCCAGCAGCCACACTAGTTAGCCATAGAGGCTGGAGTGTGGATGCATTCCTGCAATCCCAGCTGCTTGGGAGGCTGAAGCAGGAGGATTACTAAGTGAAGGCCAGATTGAGCAATTTAAAAGCCCCATTGCTAACAAGGAGAGTCAGGGGCAACTTGGTAATTTTAGTTTAAATTCAAGTATTATCTAATCCAGACCTTCACACTCTAGGCCACTTAACTTACCATGAATGTTGAGACAGAGAAAGTGAGTGAGAGAGAGAGAGAGAGAGAGAGAGAGAGAGAGAGAGAGAGAGAGGTGTGGTTGGTGGGGAGGGTCATGGGCCCCACTTTATATCAACTATGTCAATATCTGAGGTGAGGAATCATGGGATGTTCTGTAATTCTGTGTAAACATTTTAATGTGAACAATTTAAAAATGGAACAATGTCTTGTGGTTCATTTTCCATTTCTTCACTTTCTTTTTAAAACATATTAATGTTCAGAAATGGATGTGACCAGAATGACTCTCAACACCCGGAGGCCTCAGCTTAGCTTCTTATTCAATCCCGCCCCATTCCACTCTGATTAACTACTGTGTAGTCACTTAATCTCTGCACAGCCCTTGGGCCTTCTATTGAAGATAGTCATCATGGTTTCTGCTCCAATGACAAAAACTCTCTGACCAAAACCAACTCAAGAGAGGGAAGAGTTAATTCCAGTCCCAGGCCACAGTCCATCTCTGAAGGAAGTCATAAGAGGAACTAAAGGCAGGAACTCAGAGGCAGCCCTTGCTATTCCATGCAGCAGGACCTTTAACTCACAGCCAAGGGATTATGGAGGAATGTTGCTTGATCACTCCGGCTCGTGTTTAGCTAGCTTCCTAATACACCAAGTCTCCCTACCTAGGGGATGGCAGCACTCACAGTGGACTGAGACCTCTTGCATCATTTAAAAATCAAGACACTTCCCCAACAGGCCAAATCAGCCTCAGCAATTTCTCAATTAAGACTCTTTTCTCAGGTGACTCTAAGCTGTGTCAAGTTAACAGACAGTTAAAGTCAGTGACTTCACAGTTTTCTGTGCTTTCTTCTTGTCTGTGGTGGAGTCTAGTCCCTTGGATTTTGGATGACTTTTGACTGATTTGAGTAATGGAATATAGAAGTGATGCTGTGGCAATACCAGACTTCCATAAAACTCTCAAGCTATCATTTAACAATTAGGACTAGTATCCTGAATGACAGAACATGAAGAAATGTTCTGAGACTTTGTGGAGAGGAGTCACTGTGACTATGATTGTTTTTTTGGCCATCTCTACCAAGATCTTAAACCAAGAGTAAGGCCATCCTGAAACAGTCAGACACACTGAACTTCCAACTAACAGCACATAGCAACCTCAGCAGACATTTGAAGAAGTAGAACCACCTAGCAAGCTTACCCAACTGTCTGACCCAAACATTGAAATCTACAATGATGATATTATCTTAAAGTACTGAGTTTGGGGAAAGTTTGTTCTGCAGAAATGGTTTACCACTCCATAAAGTGTGGACTGGCTTACAATAGCTTCTAAGTCACCCAAAACACATTTTGTAAGAGCATTAGCTAACTGTGTCCACGTGTAAGTATAAGAAACATTAGTACATATTAAATACAACTGGCTGCTAAAACTGCTCTGATAAGCTGCAAACTGAAAGTCCCAAATGCAATGGCTGAAATGAGCATCTTGAGCCTTATTGAATTGTAGACCTACTCTACCCAGGCACTGACTACAGATCGTGAGAATGAAAGTTCCAATGGTCCACATTGTTTGTCTGGTTGAGGGCAGTTCCTTTTAGAAGTGCTTTCCAGTTTCAAAACGACATCTTGGAGGTTCTTTTCAGGGAAGACCAGGTCTTTAACCATCATGTAGTTTTGAAATAGCCTCATTCAGAACAGAGAATTTTGAAGTTTATTTTGGGCTTCCAAGATTGTTTATAGGGTAAAGGAGATTACTGCCAAGCCTGTTGACATGAATTCAATCCCTGCAACACCTATGGTGGAAGGAGCCGACCAATTCCTGCAAGTGTTCTTTGACCTTCACTCCTACTGCACTGTGGCATGTGCATGTACAAGTATACACATGTGTACATGTGCACACGTACACAATAAACCAAAAAGTTCAAGCCCTTCATTGAACAAATGGGAATGAGTGTAAACAAAATGAAATGAAATCAAAATGAAAACAAAATGCCTAACACTGCTCCAAACAGGAGTGGAGGTAATTTTACATCTATGTTTTAATGAAGTAACTAAAAAGAAGCAAAATGGTGTCAGGTTTTCAAAATGCATATTTACTTTTTCCTTTGTAAGCTATCCTGAATATCGGCATGAAGAATGCTGTCTCAACAAGTACTCACATTTTAACTGGACTGGTTACTCAATTCTAAGTACATCACTGTGACTATTAGCTACACTCCAGACATCATGCCAGGGTTTAGGTGCAGCGATGAATACAATGACTCTGGCCTTCCCTGCAGTGCACAATCTACTGCAGTAAGTGGACACACTCATCTATAGCTTCAGGTTAACAAGGGACAGGGCTGATACTCTCATAAGCAACCAGGATCTTAAAGAGTCTATGTAATTATTACTTCATTTTTATGCTTTAACCAATGAAGTTAAGAACCTTTAATGAACTGAACTCACTGCCTTCCCAGGTAGCCCATCACATTGTGAATAGTGTTGCTGTTTCCTCACAATGAACTAACATGTTAGGACCCAGGTGCTTACTGGTTCTAGGCTTATCATCTCAGAGACAACACAAAAGAAATGATGACCGTCTCCAAATTCTGTCTTCTTGGTAGACTAGACACCAATGCAAGATGAAGAGCAGACCTAATACAGTCTGTTTCTGCATTTAGGTCAGTTGAAGAAACAAACCGAGGAGAAATAAGAGCAAACCTATCAGAAGGCTAGCTAACTCAACACAGCCATGCAACTTTCTCCAGCAATGGGTGAACTGACTCAGAACCAGGACTCAGTTTAGAGGTCATAACTGGAGACAGGTACAGACATATGGAAAAATGCCTGTGAGTGTCTCAGCTATAATTCAGCAAATGGCTCGGGGCGTCTCACTGTGTAGCAAACTCAGTTAAATGTTATTAATCTTTGGAAATAATTTATCAAATTTGCTCATGTGTATCAGTTATACTAGCCTCCTACAATAGCTCTTGCACATAAATCTTTTAATATGTTTTTGTTTTTAATTGGCATCTAGTAATTGTGCATATTATGGGATGCCTTGTGACATTTCAATAGATGCATGCAATATGTAATGATTTGAGTCGGGTAATTGGCATATCTATCACCTCGGACACATTCCATTTCTTTGTGTTAGGAATACTTAAAACCCTTTCCATTAGCAATTCTGAAATACCCAATTAATTGTCAACCACACATATCTTCCTGCACTATAGAACATTAGAAGTCATTCCTCACATCCAAGTGCACCCCTGAGGCTGGCAGCTGTCTCTCTCCATCATTTCCTCTATGCATCTCTAGGCTCCGGTAACCACTGTGCTATTTTCTACTTCTTTGATGATATTTACTTTTTAACTTCCACGGGGAAGCTTAAGTATGTGGTATGTGTCTTTCTGTCTCTGATCTGTGTCACTTCCCCCACTCCGGTCTATGTTCTTGCATGGAGTGATATTACTTTACTAAAGTCTTACCTTTACACACTTTGCAGCAGCTGTGAGACAAGACTATCTGATGAGATTCAGGGCAATCCAAAGCTGGGCAGCCCATATTCTCTACAAGCTTCATGGTCTGATCCTGTGAGACAACAGAAAAGAGATGCCTGCAATTCCACAATGAAGACTTGATTGGGTAGTGATAGTCAGAATCTGACAAGGTTCTAAGACACCAGTGAATTGGTTTTCTTGATAACCTCTCCCCAGGCCATGGATTATCCCTGCATGGCACTCAGCCCCATCTGGAGAGCCCACACAGCAGCCAGCAGCCCAGAGAGTCAGAGCCCAACACACCATGAGCCATGCCTGCAACATCCAAACACCTAGATGATCCTGGAAATGTGTGTTAGTTTTCCACCAGATTTGTAAATACATTGACAAGCACAGCAAAGATAGAGCTTGGATTAGAATCACAGCACACACTGAATTCATTGAACACACAACAAACCAGTAAATTCAGCTGGATTTTGTATGAGGTTGTTTCAAAGTTCTGTTATAAACAGCTGTATCTATTGTCTCTTATGTTTCCCCACAACAGCAAACAAGGAGTTCATGTGAATTAGAAAGTTTTCAGTCATAAAACTGATTTGACAAGTAACTTTTTCATGTGTTGCAATATTGTTTTATAACAACTAGCTAGCCTACTTAAAAGGATAATGGAAATTCTTTCCTATTTGAATGGAGAGTGCTATTCAAACCTTCTCTTTGAGTTAGGATTCGAAAAGAGTGTTGTTGGGGGTTAGATTTTCAAGATTTTCAGTTTTTATATACTGTGATTCTGGAAGGCCCCTGAGAGCCAGCTTACCTTGCATTCATACAGGACACACATTCCAGAGGATGAGTAGACTGTGTTCCGTTCTCCCTCAAAGTAGCTCCGTCCTTGGAACTGGCAAGTTGCTTTAGAATAAAAGAGACATACACTGAAGCTTTGTTAGGAAACAGTTCACAAGAAACGTGCAGACCATTTTTCTTACTATTTTACCTATTCCTATTCTTTTATTAAAAGTAATTTGAATGACTAAAACTGTATGTATATTCAGTCTATTGTAAGGTACATATAAACCTTAATTAGCAGCATGCAAATTAAGCTGAGAGAGTGAAATGGGCACAAAAGGATAATGAGGTATTCTGAGTTGCTAAAATAAGACTCTGGAAAGGACTTTTGGACTTTAAGTCTCACATGCTTAAAACACATTATGTATTTATATGAAAAAGTCTTCATGCAAGCCAGTACATGGACAATGAATATATACAAATGAAAGAGAGAGGGGAGGAGGAAGGGAGGGAGGGATGAAAAAAGAAAGGAAACAGATGCTGGCCAGGGAAGCTGATCAGTGCTTTGCTCAGCCATGATCAGAGAAGTGTCTTCCTGCAGCAGATGGGAACAGAGACCCACAGCCAGACAATGTGCAGAGAGTGAGAGACCTCAGAACACTCAGTCATTTTTGTTCTTTTTCTTTTTTTTTTTTTTTTTTTTGGTTTTTCGAGACAGGGTTTCTCTCTGGCTTTGGAGGCTGTCCTGGAACTAGCTCTTGTAGACCAGAATGGTCTCGAACTCACAGAGATCTACCTGCCTCTGCTTTCCCAGTTCTGGGATTAAAGGTATACACCACCACTGCCTGGCTAGAACACTCAGTCATAAAACAGGTGTCTCCATCAAATTCCTCCCCTCATGGCACTGGGAACCTTGAGGAAGAGGGGGCACAAAGGTTGTAAGAGCCAAGGAAGCAAGGTTCTCTAAATCAACAGGATCTACACCCCTATGACCTCACAGAGACTGAGCAGCAGGCAGAGGGCCTACAGAGGGTCTAAAGCAGATGGGATCCTAGAACGGAAAGAAGAGAATACACCCCCATACCCCTAACCAGGAAGCTGTCTCCATTGATAACCACTTGCAAATAAACACTTTCTTTTTTCCAAGGGATGTCCCTAGGGAAACAAACTATTCTTAAGGGTAGACATCCTGTCCACTAGTAGATAGCCAACAGAAAATTAATTCAACAGCATATTTGGATGTTCCTTGTCTCATAAAGTGTCAGACCTCTTTAAAAATTTTATCTTATTTTTAATATTTATATATTTTTCCTCTCTCTTTACCCTACAGGTGCTTCGTGCATATACTATAGCTTCCAGTTTGTGTTTACACAGTATTCCTGAGCATGTGAAAGAGTGAGTTTCTGCATATATATCTGTTTCTTGTAACTTTTCTTGGACTCTTTTCCTTCTGTTTGTTTTGTTCTATTTGAATGTGTTACTTTTTGTTAAATCTTATTATATTATTTTTATTATTACTCCTTAGAAGCCTTAGAATTAACTCCTTGTTAGTTTTCTAACAAGAGACAGAAAGGGGATAGATCTGGAGGTGAGGGGAGGTGGATAGGAACTGGGAGGAGTGGAGGGAGAGGGAGCTGGAGAATGTATTATATGAGAAAAAGGGCGGGGGGCAGAGAAAGCAATAAGGTTGTAGCTGTTTAACTGCCTGATGGATGATATTCTCCTTAAGACCCCCTCAGTGGGCACTTGGGTGGCAACAAAGGCCTGGTGCATTTTAATATGCTTTAGAATTTTAAGACAAATTAGGAAACTCTTTTAATTACAACATGAACATGTAAGCTTTATGCTTTTTAGTTTATATTACCTTACATGAATATTCATGAGTTGGGACACCTCATTTGAAACATCAGATGAATTAATATGGACCTACCTTGCTTCCATCGCAATGACAGAACATTTTTAAACATAACTCAGGGACATGGAAGCAAGTTGTAATCAGATAAGGTACATAGATCTCCAATCAGTTCTCTATGAAACATGAAAATATTTGCAACTGAACTAACAGAAGTAACTCTTAATTTGAAATGATCATTTAACACTGCTGAGGTTGACTCTTAACTAGGTTCCCCTCACACTACAGAAGCCTAATGTTAGGGTCATTATCTGGCTTCAGGTTTTAAACTCTAAACCAGTGGTTCTCAGCCTCCCTTGGCCCTCTAACACAGTTCTTCATGTGGTGGTGACCCCCAACCATAAAAATATTTCCAATGCTACTTCTTAACTGTAATTTTGCTACTTTTATGAATTATAATACAAATATATGAGTGCAGGATATATATATATATATGTGACTCCCCTCAAAAGGGTCATGACTGTTAGGTTGAGAACCACTGCCTAAACTGACTTTTGCTTTTCATTTTTACATTGTTTTCTTTGAAAGGACCTCCTATAGATTTTTAAATTCCACATAACATACAAATACCCCAAGAAAACTGGTTTGGGGACTAACGGAAGACAACAGTCTGATGCAAACAGACATCCTCATATTAATAAGTCCCACCTTTTATTTTAGCCACATACAACTTGTATTGTCGACATATCATTTTGGTTCTGTCTATATGAATCAAAAAATTCTTTTACTCTTTGGAATTTATATTTCCTCTCATATTTAAAAACATAACTTGTAAGTAGCATTTGTAATGTTGAAATCAGACATTAACAATAATATTATTTGTACAGATATTAAGTGCCAAAGCTTGTAACCTAGCTTTTAAAAAAAAAATAGCTGCACATTAAAATACTAGAATCCATGCACATTTTTAATTTTTTTTTAAATTGTATTGTTTGTTTTCTTTTGGTTTTGGCACTTTTTATTAATTTACCTTTAAATTCCAATTCCAGTCCCCCTCTCTCCTCTCCTCCTCCCCCCGCCCCCGACACACTCTGCCCCTTAACCTTTCAGAGGGTAAGGCCTACCTCCTCATTGAGGATAAGGCCTCCCCTAGGAAGTCTACTAAATCAGTCCCATCATCTCCTTGAGGCAGGACCAAAGCACTTCTTCACCCCCCACACTCCCATGTCTAGTCTGAGCAAGGTATCTTTCTCCATAGAAGGAGCTCCACTAAGTCAGTTTGTGCATTTGAGTTAGATCTTGAACCCACTGCCAGTGGCCTCATATACTGTCCCAGTCACACCATTGTTACTTATAAAAGGGAGTCTAGAGAAGCTTCTGTAAAGCAAAGAACATGGTCAACAAGATAAAACAGCTCCCTATGGAATGGGAAAACATCTGACAGAGGGCTGATATCCAAAATATACAAAGAACTCAAGAAACTACCAAAGAATCTAATTTAAAAATGGGGTACAGATCTAAACAGAATTCTCAACAGAACAATCTCAGATGGTAGAAAGACACTTAAGGAAATGCTCAACATCCTTAGTCATCAGGGAAATGCAAATCAAACCACTCTGAGATTCCATTTTACACTGATCAGAATGGCTAAGATCAAAAACACCAGTGACAGCTTATGCTGGAGAGGATGTCGAGAAAGGATAACACTCCTCCATTGCTGGTGGGAGTGCAAACTTGTACAGCCTCTGTAGAAATCAGTATAGCGATTTCTCGGAAAATTAGGGATCAGCCTACCTCAAAACCCTGAAATACCACTTTGGGGCATATACCCAAAGGAAGCACATTCACACCACAAGGACATTTGCTCAACTATGTTCATAGCAACACTATTCATAATAGCCAAATATTGGAAACAGTCTAGATGTCCCTCAACTGAAGAATGGATAAAGAAAATGTGGTACATTTACACAATGGAGTACTACTCAGTGGTAAGAAACAATGACATCCATGCACATTATTAAAAGCCATTCTTCAGCTAACCCCTTTACTCAGCTTGTATTAAGAAACCTAACAATGTAAACACAACTACTAGAGAATTGGTTACAAATTTTGGGGAGCTAGAATGGAAAATCATGCAACTTAATTATATAAATTGTATTACTTAGAGACTGTCTGAAAGTTGATCAGTCATGGATATTTAAAACAAAACTACTGATATGTCAACTGTATACTACCTGCCACAATATGAACTGAAACAACATTATGTGTTTACATAATAAACCCCATTGATTGCTAAATGAGTCTTCAGTGTGTAATATACAGTGTGCTTTTATCTTAGTAAATCCTATAAATCTAACACAGCAGAATCTGATCAACTGTACATTTACTCACATGTAATATGTCCTGGACTTTATAAGAGAATGAAAAATGAAACTTTCTAACTTGTACTCAGCACCTGAATTCAAAGGTTTCAAAGCTTACTACATTACTCGGTAACTGCAGCCTCTTCAAGTTCAGGGGTGGGCAAAAGAAAAAAAAGTGGTGCTGTGGGCCTTTCTTGCACAGAAGGGCAAGGAAACAGGGTGAAAATGCAAGGGTAAATTCTCCTCATGCAAATTCTTATGATAACAGTCGTGGTGCAGAGCAGATGGGTCTTCTGTCCAAAACTCAATTCAAAAGACATGAACCAGGCAACTTATGGGATGGGATGATAGGGCACCCAATGGGGCTGTGCAGAGATGGCAGCACAAAGCAACTGACCATGCTCTCTCCACTCCCTCTCAGGAAAGAGCAGGGATGTTGAACTTGACTTAGGGAGAACCCAAAAGTAATTTTTGTTTTGTTTTGTTTTTCTCATTTGGATTTTGTTCAGTTATTGTGATCTCCAATATGCTATGGTTTATGTAGGATATCTATGATATGTGTTTCTTGTGTTTTATCCAAGAAAAATGTGGGGCTGGAGAGATGGCTCCCTGGTTAAGAACGTTAGCTGGTCTTCCAGAGGTCCTGAGTTCAATTCCCAGCAACCACTGGGTGGCTCACAACCATCTGTAATGAGATCTGATGCCCTCTTCTGGCCTGCAGGGATACATGCAAGACAGAACACTATACATAATAAAGAAATTTTACAAAAAAGAAAGAAAAACATGAAGAAACTCTGAAAAGCTGTAAGGATTCCTGAAAACACTGGGAGGACTAATCCAAGCATGTTAGAGGGACTGGGATTCCTCAAAGAGAAATTAGGAAGTGGAAACAACCATCCACAGCACAC